CATTAATTTTAATGTCCAAGCTTCTAGCCGCAGCTAATAACAGTGGTTGGTTAAACTGTAAAATCAAGGTTATGAATATTAGCCATCAGCATCAAGTTTAATGGAATAATTTGTCAGGTATTGTTGAACAAACACAATAATTATTCTTTTTATTTTTTATCTTTTTGACAGCAGATATAAAGGTTTCTGCTCTTTCCAACACTCCCCCTTCAGCATATCATTGCAATAGTGTTTCTTATTATGGCACTTACAACTATTCTTTGGAGTGTTTTACTTGCTAAGTTCAACAGACTCGACAGGTTTTTGCTAATTTTCTGCCTGTTGTCAGGAATGATGTGATTGGACTTTCAATGGGATTCTTTCCATGAAAATAAAATAAGTTCCATAAGGTAACCTCTACATTCAGGGAAAGTAGCTGCACAGCCATGGTTCGACATCTTTTTACACTATGTGTCACTTTTTTAAACCTTCATCTCTTTGTCCACAAATACTTTCCTCAATGGAGTCATTCACATTTACAAATGGCCTAATACAAATAACACATGCTGCTGTTTATTTTGAACCATAACTGCTGTTTTTACTCACATATGGTGGTAAATTTATTAAAGTTTGAGAACCACATCTGTGTTCATTCCAGATTTGGATCACACTAAGTCTGCTGTTTCCTATATTCTTTGTGAAATGGCAAGTGGAAAGCAAAAATGAACAATGGCGTGATTGCAGAACCCCAAAGGAGCATTAAAAGGATTCATAAGCTCATCTGTTAGACTTAACAATGGAAGGTTTTCTTCTTGTTTACGTGGTGCATATCTATGCAGACACAAATCAGCAGGAGGAAAACATTGGCAATACAAGCTAAACACTTGTCAGCATGTTCACCAATGGGTGTCCTGTATGAAACAGACATCTGTGATCTTATGTTTTGTGTTTGCCTTGGGATCAATCTGTTTGCTTTTTGTTATCTTGCAAAACTATGTAGAAGAAGCTTAATTTTGCTTGGATCTTTTTTTGCGTGTGTGTTCTGTACAGATGTGTATCGGAATTTGCCATTTTTAGCATTGTGGCCAAGTAGCAAAAAGGTTTCAGGTTCCAATCCCTGCTGTAGTTGGCATATTTTCTCTTTCTGCACACATGAGCTTTCTCTGATTACTCTGACTTCCTCTTATAATTAAGTTAGATCCACCTTGTGTGGGCCACGCCACTTACCCACTGACTACTTCAGTCACCATTCTCTCTCCATGAGCACTGCATATTGCATAGAAAACGGATGGTTAGATAGTTCTGAGCTATTAAATATTTTTCTTCTCATGAGTAACAGTAACACACAAGGTCCACACAAAGTAAATCATCGCATGACTGAAGTTTTTGCCACATGAATGAGGATTCAACATGGACTACATCTCAACTACAGAAAATGTCATTACAATTTGCTCCTTTATCTCCAAATATGTTTAATTTGCTGTAAATTCAGATATTTTGAGAACTTGCAGTGGGCCATGACTCCTACAAACCTTGAAAAGCTTTGAATCACAATTGCAAAGGTCAAACAGTATACAGCCATTACTTCTTGGCTGTACATTTACACTAGAGGCTTTGTCAAACTAAAAAATAGATAAAGCATCAGTAGTATGAAATACAAACACAAAGAGAGATCTCCATATTATAAATGCTAAAGCAGAAAGACAAAAAACCTGCCTAACATGTATGACTCCTGTCTACATATGTATGAAAAGTCTATTCATTTGATCTCTTGTTTATAAAAAAAACCATTCAGTTTTTTTTATTATTTTCCACATTACTAGTATAATATAAACAACTCTCAGTTTCAGTCTTTGTACTGTCTGTTCCGCATTAAAAAAAAAACCCTGCAAGAATACAGTAAGCCGATTCAGTGATAAATAGACTATCACTCACTGACTGGAAGTTGAGTTGATATTCCTGGTAATTAAATATGAATACATAATTACTCATTATTTCTTACTTTACATACTTAAAACAATAATTCCAGGCAAAACGATGGACACAGCAATTACATCTAATAAATAGCAAACGGTTTTTAATTGAGTCAGACCATTTCATTCACGTCTCAGGGACGGCAGTTAATTGTTGTCAGTGACTCAGTGAGAAAACAATTACTGGATGATGTTGTCACATTAAAGAATAAAATATGTTTTTCCAGATAGTGTAAGGTCTGAATTAAAACAAAGCAAAAATGTCTCAGAGGATGAGTGGCCAAGTGATGTCAGTGTGTTCTTGTTTACTTTCCTTCCTCCTATCACACACAGGGTTTTTCTAACGAGAAACAGATTTCACAGTTGTCTCAGACAAGTAAACATGCTTTTGCACCGAGTTTCAACTGAAATATTTAGTTCAAAACATGAAACAGAGGCCATCCCAGGATCATGTGAAAATTGCACCCATGAGGGCAAAGGCTGTCTCAGTGATGTTTTGCATCTGTTTTTGTGATACAGTTTGAGTAATATTAACTCTGACTAAACTTTCAACAAATTGTTAAAAGAAATATTTCACATTTTATCGTGTTTTTAGCCTTTGTTAAAAAATGTGAGGGAAACCACCTAAAATACTTAGTTCAATGATATCTGAATAAAACAAAATAAATATGAATGCTCATTTACACCGGGTCTACAGTAGGATGGGGCTGGAAATTAATTTTTTTTGTTTTGTTTTGTGAGTTGCTGTTAATGTTATAGTCGCTTAGAAAAACATTAGGACCATACTGAAAGTAGACAAAAGACAAACCTTCTGGGATTATGCTATTTGCACAAATAAGCTTAAATTGAATTCACTGGAAAGCAGAATGGAAAAGAGGTCATTATCTAAATATAGATTTCCAGGATGGGAAACTCATACCAACTGTAAAGCATGGAGGTGGGAGTGTTATGGTTTGGGAATGATTTCTTCCAGAAGGACAGTTCACCATCATAGAACTCACTAAAAATTGTATCATGTATCAAAGGCATCTTAAGGAAAATGTGAGTCCATCTGTGCTGGATGCAGCAACACGACAACAACCCAACACACAGAAGTAAACAAGGACTGGTTGAAATTTAAGAAATGAAAAGTTCAGGGCAAAATCACAGCCCACACCTTTCTCCTAGTATATAGCTATTACTTCTTGTGCCATACTTCTGCTATTTTTGGATGATAGATTGGCTGCTCTGGAATTTAGTTAAAGGAAACAGATTAAAAGGGCTGAATACATACACACACTGCAATTTTTGATATTAATTTTAGAACCACATGAAAATCACATATCATTTTCCTTGGTCTATCACATAAATTCCATATATAACTTAAAGTTTATGATTGCAGCATGCTAACTTGTGAAAAAGTTAGAGGGATTTAATTACTTTGGGAAAAGTCCTACATGTTTTGTTAAAAGACTCAGCATTGTCATACTGCTTGGTGTCACTACAATCATTATTTCGATATGCAGGGAAAAAAAGTAAGCATGCAACACATTTTTTTTAATTTTATTTTTTATATATATTTTATTCAACATTAAAAAATATTATGGTGAATACACCAACTTGTTTCATTTGTACCTTTGCCTAAACCAAGGCATTAAAGATATGCATCATCGTTCCAAAAGCATTCATTGTGTTCTTTAACAAAACAAAATACATTTTCAAAACATTTCAAACATTTGTATTTCTGTAACAGCATGCATGTCTGCTTTAGATTTGCAGTACTGTCCTAAATATTAGACACTTATCATCCCTGTAAACAACCATTAATCATTGTGACACATTCTGCATGCCTTTTGATCTGGAAATCATGGAATTTATCTGAGGGCTATCATTATTAATTCAAATTGGAGGTCAAGAAGACTGAAAGTACGAGTGAACCCAGATGAATTCCCAAGAGAGGGATATTGGAGGGAATCCAATGAAAAGAAATCATGCGGCTGAATAAATGTAATCAACACTAAAAAGCAGATGTGGTATGAAAATTATGTACAAAAGTGGTTTTTGCTTTCTTTTAGTTAATTAGACATGCAGGAGGACGCAAAGTCTTCCTTCTGAACAAATGAATGTGGTGAGATATGGTGCTAAGGCGTGTTTGTGGCTAGAAAAGAAGCACATGGAAGTTATATTCAGCTAAGCTTCACCCTGACCTTCAGACTATCCATTCCAGTGCTGCCCTCTATCTTCTGAACAAGTAAACCTGGTGTGCACAACACAGGTTGTGTTTAGATGTCTACTTTAATGCCTGTTTTCTAAGTGGAGCAAATAGACGCCTGGATGTTGAGATTGAAACTTTGACTTGAGATTTATTTTTGAAATGTACTGTTTAAGTTTGAAAGTTGTCTGTACATATTGTAAATAGTTTTAGGTTGTCACTATTGATATCTGGCAAGGCATAATGCAAATGTTAATGGTGTCAATACTTTTACAATACAAAAATGTGAATGTGAGGAGCTCTACAGCTGTCTGTAGGTGCCACTATTAATTTGATAATTTCCGTCAAATCTGTCATTTACAATGGCTTTTTGAGGAGCAGAACTGTGCCGAAGTGTTTGTTGCCCTGGCTTTTCTCTCTGTTGTTTTAAGTACAATTAAAGAAGCTGGACCCGTGCGTTCCCAGTTACTCATGTTTCCCTGGGCATATCTAGTTTTGTTGAGACAACTTTCAAAATGTCTCAAAAGAAAAGACGAGTTCAGAGTAGCCAGTCAAATGCAGTCATGACCCTAGAGCAAAACAAAATTAAAGCATAAAATCTCAGTTTAAGTTTACTCGAATCAAGTCAGATTTTCTTAGAATGTTTCAAAGAGCATGCAAAGCAGAGGGGGCAAGCAAAAACAGGATTCAGACGAGGTCAGAAAACGGGCAGAATGGAAACAGAGGGAAAGCAGAGGCTGTCAACAAATACCTGACATTGGCTGTCAAAAGGTTTAACTCCACCAAGACAAGTGGCAGAACAGAAACGGCTTTCCTGTACAAACGGCTTTCCTATACAAATCAAACTAGATACATACACATTTTATTGCCTTAGATACGCTCTCCTCTTGGAAGCATTTGTTTCCCTTCTCCCACGCAGTTCCTCATTTTTACTTGGCCTGTGCTGGGGAAAGGTAAAAAGCCATTAAGAAGACTGATTAGGAACATTGATATAGGTGTGCTGAGAGTTATGACAGATCGGGTGACTCATCTGGCAGGAAATGCAGGGAAAGGGGGAGTGGAAGAAAAAATGCAGAACGGTTACCTTCAGGAGAATTGGCTCATATTCAAAAGTACACATGTAGTCAACACTGTATGCCTAATAAATAATAATTTTTTTTTGTTTTGCTAATAGTTTCTTATTTTTAACTTTGTGCTACCTGTTAGCATTGTCACTGCAAAGTGTTGTTTATTTTCACAGCCTTTAATAATCATATTATAACCATCTACCTTTCTAACGGGTTTCCATGTTTATAATGTTACAACCACATATTTGAATGTGTTTTGTTAGGATTTTATGCCAATTGTGCAGAATTCTGAAGTTGATAGATATGGATGTGACGTTTACTCTTTGTATTCCAATTAAACCTGGGAAAGTGTGGTGTGCATTTGAATTAAATGCTCTTAACCCACTATTTTAGAGAAGCGGAACCAGCAGCAAGGTTTTCCAACAACAAACATCAGTAGATTGGAAATGTGATTGCTTCTGCCTTGAACAGTAGCTCAAGGCAGAAGAGAAGGGGAAGAGAACATCGGTAAGGAACAAGTTTTTTTTAAACGTGTTCTGTCCTGCAGTGTGGCTCTCAGAATTGTTGTCTGAGTGCCAAGATGAATCTCAACAGACTTACTTTCACAGCTAGAGCTCTATGGTTTTCTCTCCACTTGCATTGTTAGAAATTGTATTGGGTTTATTTCAAATGTAAAGGACATACAGATTGAAGACAAAGGGGACAAAAGCTTAAAGAAAAACAAGCAGATAAGATTGGAAGAAAGAACAACTGGAGTACTAGTACTACAAAATGTATAGTGGTAACAGCAGCCAATCAGAAAATACCTAAATCACCTGTGGGAGTATCTGTGCGTATGAGAGAAAGAGAGGATGCTTGTGTCTATAAGGTTTCTCCGTAAGAATGTTCAATAGAAGGTGTGAGGAGCCACAAACACGCCCCTGGGACACAAAGCAGACATGGGGGAGATCGGAGCCCCAGGCCTCCATAGGCCAATGAGGTTTTAGGCACATTCATGCTTCCAGACTAGCTCTGCTCCAATGCAGCACATGTTCCTTAAAACTGGCAACTTCTACATGTTGCAGTAAAGCAACATGGTACTCCAAATTCTGCTCTCTAATCCTCAAATCCTCAATCATTAATACATCAGGTTATTTACCTCTAAATTGCTTAATTATTAATTATTAAGATCAAATCAGTCAAATCTGTTAATTATTGAAAACTTAGTCCCCAGGGTGAATGAATCACTTTGATGATTTTAAACATTTAAGAGTAACAAAAAAATTACTTTTGAAAAATGTAAAGGAGAAAATACTTTTTTACAGCACTGTAGGTCACAAATACCACAAGAAAATCTTCTTCCTGGTATTGCACAATGATGTGTTAATAAGGCTCCAGTCACAAGTCACTACCTTCCTTTATTTCTTGCATTACTCATCACATCCCCAAGTCAAGAGTAAAATCTTTTTGCACAACATTTATCAGCAATGATGAGCGTAATTTATTTATTTATTTTTATTTTTTTTGATGAGTCAGTTTTCCAGGTAAACACCACAATAAGAATTGATAAAAGGAGCTAGGATCAGGTGAAAACTGGTTTTCTGAGTGTTTATGAAGGTTTATGTTTTATGTTGAGCAACAAGTTAAAAGACCCGCATTTCAATTTCAAGAGGAGGTGGGGAAAAACGTCTGCAGGGGTTTCAGCTTTCATTGTTCTAAGTATCAGGTGTACTTTGAACAGGCTTGTGTTTGGCTAAAACTACTCCTGCGCAGAATGGGTGGGGTGAAGGGATGTGTGTCTGAGCAGACAAGGTGAAGTCTCGTGTTTGGATTCAAGCTCAGGCAAAGAGCGGGCTTGAATGGAATCCTGTCGCTGTGACTCTGTACGGTATACTCAGGGATATTTGACTCTTTGGAAATAACAGCTTTGAAAACGTGTGAGTATACAATGGAGACAAGCAGTGACACCACAAAAATTCTTGAAAAGGGTCCGGAATACCTTCGGAAGCAAATGGAACTGGAGGGTGAGACAAAGGGACGTATGAGTGCCGTGGAGAGGCTTGCTGCGAGTAAACCAAAGTACGTCAAAAGTCAGCAAGTGGTCAACTCTACCCAGGAGCCAGTGATCAGTCTTGGTTCAGCATCTGTGAGTAGCACCGGGTCTTCAAGCCAAAGCATAAACCGCAATGGAAATCTTGTCTCTGGGAATACCTCATCAGTGCATAAAGATGTTCCACAACTCTGTTTACCGGGACAACAATATCGGCCCACTGTCAAAAAAAGACCAGACTCTATTCTACTTTACAGACAGAAATGTGACTTACTTCGAGGATCAGCACTCAAGAACCGAAGGCACCCCATAACTAGAAAGCCGCCACTCAATTCTGGGAATAAACATGTTCTGGCTGCTGACAGGGAATGTGAACATGAAGGCAGCAAGGAAAAAATCAGCACACCTGAGGGAAAAGCAAAGGAATGTAGCAACGGTGTAGTTATTTCTCAGTCAGAGAACAAGTCTAATGGAGCAACAGAGGAAAACAGCGAAAAGCCAATAGCTGGTGGTCTTCTTGCAGTTCCTGAGATTGAGAGGACGACTGGCAAGGGAGTGAGCCGTTCCCACTCGGATATCAGCTCCAGATACTCTAAAAACTTTGCAGACTTTGATGCATTTTTCAAGTACTGTGGCCTGGACGGTGAGGTGATTGAGACCTTGGGGAGGGAGAACTTCTCGGCACGCTCTGATGAGATTGTGATAAACATTCGGAGCGTCAGCATCTCCACATCCGACGATGGCTTTTCGAGGGATAGCGGCGACAGCGACGGGCTTCTTGAGGACGAGCTGCACAAAAAAATATGGCAAGGCACGTCGGTAATTGAGCGCAATGCACGTATCATCAAGTGGCTGTACAGCTGCAAAAACGCTTCGGATGCTGGAAAGACGTTACGGGACCTCGACTGAATGTTACATAAAAGCTACAGATTTTTTTAGTGGAGACTAAAATGATTGTGACTGACTTCCAGTTCTTGCATTCCTGACAGTAAATATCACCAACTGAAGGATTCAAGATTGTGGCAACGTGTGTTGCTGCCACGTTGTCCAAAATTGTATCTTGAGCACAATGTGACTGACAGATGTGAAAACTTATAATGAGTTGAAGATGTTGTTGTACAAACTTTTTTTCTGTCATGAGATTAATTCAACTGACAATTTTGCAAATTATAGCTATATTCAACAGTTGTGAAAATGCCTTTATCATACCACAAGGAAGAATTGTGGTAGAGAGCTATGGAAAAGTATAGGGCTAAAAGTCCACTAAGCTCAACTGTGGTTTAGAGTAATTACCCTGTACCTTGTCATAATCTTCTAATAAACTATATTATGTATTTAAAATATGTGTGAAGTTTTGACAAACTGCAGTGCATACCCTCAAATGGATTTTCATTCCAACAGTTTGAAGCATTAAATTTGAAGCATTACTATGTCATTTATCAACGAAACTAGTTAAACTTTTCTCCACCAATGTTTTAAAAAACTAATGATATTGGGAATTGGTATGAGTAATTACATAAAGATGAAAGGCTCTTTGGATTTGTGATTTTTGCTGGAAACATCTATGGATCCTGTTCATAATTTGTGGATTTTTCAGATTACCTCAAACATGAAAGGGGACTCAAATAACAGTTTACGTAGCGTGCCTTTAAGGTTCATAGTCTGATGAGTGCACTCCTCATTTTTCCTCGGGTGAAAGGTATGCAGTCAGTCCTGCACACACACAGACAAAAGAAAGACAAATAATGTCAGTCTGTAAGACAAGCTGTTTTATTACATGTCACTTAAGTAGCAGCAATTAATAAGAGAGTGAAAAAACCCCAGGAAAGAAATGATAATTTCCCCAGACAAGCTGTCAGCTGGACCTTTAAGATCTGGGTGAGAAGAATGTGGCTGGTGATCTGATGGGCTTATGTCCAGTGACCCGTTGAAACTGTATCTCTACTTACCTCCCAGTTTTCGCCTGCTTTGTCTCTTCAACACCCCCCTCCCCCCCACCCCCATTTTCTGAATCCTTTCCAAGTTTGCTCCAGTTAGTTTGACCCTCAGAGAGTGTAATTGAAGATGGAAAAAAACATAACAGATTGACTAGGGGCTCAAGCAGCATTAATTTGGGAAGTTATGACACGAATGTTTCATGGACATGAAAGAAGGTTCTAGTTGTAAAAATATATTTCACTAACTTGAAAGGTGTGCCATAGCAAATCATTTCCTGCCAACTCTACTTGTCAGCTGCCAGGTCTTAAAGTTGGTTGAAAAACCGATCCATTAACACCTTAGTGGCATTATGATTTTTACCACAGCCTAACTTTAACATGACTTTAATCCTTACTCAAATCAAAGTTAAACCACCATTCCTTAAACTTTTTATCTAGAATGTGTGACATTCAAACAAAGTAATTAATTACTTAGTTTCCAACTAGTGTGCTACATGTGATTTTATAAATCCATTAGTGACACAATAGAATAATCGACCTTGTTGGTGGCAGCAAGTGTCTGTCTGTTTTGTAAAAATTAGCAAAACTAACTTTTGGTTTAATTTATTACTATAGTAAAACATGTTATTGTAAATTGTTCTTTATTCCCGAGAAAGTCTGCTGTCTTAGAAAGATTTACAACTCCCATCTGGCAAACCTCTTTTGAGGATGTCCATTTGTATATTTATTGTTTTCCCCCATCTTTTTTTCTCAAGCTTTAAATAAAACTCCTTTGTAAAAGTTTACTTGTATTCCAAGCACCTGCAGCAAAATATTGTAGCCATATGTGGGAGTAGACTTCAATGCTTCATAAGCGACATCAGCATCTATAAGAAGTCATTTGTCCACCACTGTGTTTACAAATGTGAGCTGATCAGCTTGATTCTTGTGCATATTCTGATGTCGGCAAGCCAAATAAGATTCCATGTGTTTTTAAAGAACTTATTGCAAATCAATACATCATTGACCAGATGGGATTTTATTACTTGTGTTTATTTGCTATTTAAAAGAAAGTAAAACACTACTGCATATCTTTGAAATATATATCCTGATCATTTTATCATATGTGTCAAACAGCTACAAATGATTCAAAAGGAGGGCTAGTCTACCTTAATATAATTGACTATCTGAGCAATAGATTTTCCATAGGGAGTATCTTCTAACCTCATTCCTGATTTGTAAGAACCATGAAACAAACTGTGGATTACAATCTTCCTGAACTGGCCTGCAATTTTCCAATTGAGTCTGAAAAGACCCTAATAATAAAAACCATCTTACCATAATAATTGCGATAAGTGCGATAATTCTTTTCTTTCACACATAAGAAAATGGTCCAAAGCGTTGTTCTGGTCTCACCGAGAGAGAAGACCTCTTCCTCATAGCTGCTTTGTCTTCTATATTACTTTCTAAAAAGTTTAAGTGGGATTTTTTTCTTTTATGTTTTTCTTCTTGTCACACTTCCATGACGGCTGTTTTCTCTAGTGGAAATTAAACAGCTGGGGCTTTTTATGTTAAGGCTGTGGGGTTGCGATCCTACGGACTTAACATGGGTCTCTTGGCTACTTTTCTGATTTATGCTCTCTGTCAGTTTAGGATGAGGGCCATGTCTTGGTAGGATTAGAGCTATCCTGTTATATTTTCATTTCCAGATTATTGATTATTGTCATGTGTTCAAGTTTTACTGCCTGAACCGTCTTTGAAGCTCTCTACAATGTTATCCTTGTCCTGGTGGTTGAACTCCCTGGTCTTCATGATGTTGTTTATTTACTGATGTTCTCTAATTAATTTATGAACCCTTCATGAAACTATTTAAAAGGAAAAATTTTACATAGGCCGACTAGTTTACTTGTTAGGTACTTTCAGATGGCAGTTGGTTTAGCTGTGTTTTGTTTTTTAGGATGTTAGGGTAAAAGAAAGTAAAAATACAAGAACACCAAGGAATTTCTTTTTTTTCATTGTTCTTTGCTCATAAATTACCAATAAAACACATTCAAGACTGTGTTGTAACATGAGATAGAATGATAAAGCCAGAGGGAAAGGATTTTTTTATGCAATCTGTGATTCTGAAGACAGACACACTGTCTTTTAATTACATGTGGAAAAATATTAATGCATAAATAAAGGTCTTTATCATAGATGACAATGTAAAGATTCACTATGATTGATAAAAACTTAAAAATATAGTAACGACCTATAATTGATAAATGGGACATGCACATTAGTAGAATTAAACCCTTGCTATTAAATAAAAATCACAAAATAAGATAGAAAATATTGGAGTTTAATGCACATTAAAGCTTGCACAGATGTTGCCTTACCACATCACGCACTTAGTTGTCCGATTGTCCTGTTCCCATCCCCCCAACTGCAAAATAAAAACAGAAGTACATGTGCGCAGTCCTCAATCACGTGTAGGAGAAAAGCCCCAGCAAAACACACGGGATTAAAAAAAGGCAATGATTGACACCGCAGATTAGCCAATCAGATGCGTTGCTCCGGGTAGCAACAACGTAAATTCGAACATATTGTCCAATAAGAAAGCAGAGGGGGCTTGAACGAATTCTCGGGTTCCACACTGCATTTACTTCCGTCAATATTTCCAGCACAGCACTGAGAGAGAGAAAAAGACCACAAAGGAACTACTCGGACATTAAGGTTTGTTCGGTATCTTTAGAAACTCACAGCTGAAGAATTTCGTTATTTAGATATTTTACTTTATCTGGTCTCGGAATGTGCACGTTAAATCGAGTGACAGCTGGCTTTCTTCTTGTTTTTTAACGTTAAGGGTTGCAGCGGCGCAGGATACTATATGCAAAGGGAGAACGCCGAAAAAAAATGCGTCATAAACATGTTTATGTGAGATTTTGAAAATTACGTCTACTTAATCACATTCCCAGTGTTGAACTTGAAAACCCTAGAAAATAAGCTCATTATTTAAAGGTTTCACAATCCAATTGCGCCCCTTGTTATGTAGGCTTAGTATTCTTACAGCCTTAAAAGTGGCCATAGATGTAAAGAGATGCTGCTTCTCCTTTATGCAGGTATTCTAAATATTAGACTTAGTGTATGCATAAAAAAGTTTATTCTGGAAATTCTCATGTATTTTAAATATAAACAAACAATATTCATTAATAAATATTAGTTTATTTAGTTTATTAGATGCCCAGTTGAATTCTGTCCATGAAACTAGTGACTGAATATATTGACATAAAAAAACGACAGTAAAGTGACAAGTTCATTTTTCCTATGCCAGATCTTCATTTTGCATTCTAAAATTATTGTAGCAACTTTGTGATTTATTACACTTCAAACCTCAATCGTTGGTACTTTATTTGATAAACCAACACAATTGTTGGACTGACTCATATATATTGAATCATATATTTTTTAAAAATGTGAAAATGTGATATGCCCCTTTTTCCATGTCTTTGTTGAGAAAAAAAATATATGTGTAAATGACCACATCAAAAAAGGAGAAGACAGTTAAACAAGTGATGGAGGAATACAACAGTTGGAACGCACATTTTTATGATACAAGAACTTTTTGGCCTTCTTGTAACAGGTTATGTTTGGGAGAAAACTAACATTGCATACTACCATCAACACACTGTCCACACAGTGCAGCATGGTGGTGGATGTATTATGCTGTCAGGAGGAATTTGTTCACATGGTGTAGTCTCAATGGAAAACCAGTAAATTTCTGAAAGTGTTAGTCTTTGACATACAATCCCAATGAATTACAATTAACCTTATGTTCATAAGAAATGTAAAGAAGATAAACAGGTACAAATAGGTCTTAAATGTTCTGTAAATACAAATAACGCAATCTTTAATTGAATATTTAGAACAATTAGGCAGCCAAAAATAAACCTTGTTACTGATTAACCCTTTTAGGTGTTCACCGTGGCTTCGACTCTTCTCGGCTCACAGTCCTGCCTTCCCCAGTTAATATGCCTTTCTTGGGCAAAGACTGGAGGTCGCCTGGATGGAGCTGGACAAAGACAGACCGTGGGTGGAAGAGGATCGTTTTCTTTGGTCATGAGCTGGAGGATAACAACAAAGATATAGACCTAAAAGAGTAAGCTCATTAATTCTTTGTCTTTGTGACCTGCCCTATTTTTGCATTTATTCTAACATGTTAAATAATGTATACACCTTTGTGCAGCCGCTAATGCTCCACATTTGACTTATTTAATTTCCTAACTAAATTAAATAGTTTTTATCTTTTTAAATTATGAACTTAGTGTTTGATCATACCCTGAAGGCCACTTCAAATTTTAATGGGCATTGTTCCGATCCTAACAGAAATTGTTTTTCATCTTGAGATGAACCTACAAAACAATGCTTTGAAATATTTTTTTCATTTTTGGGTATGTGAAGTTTTACTCTGTTTTGACATTCAGTCAGTCTCCTCAACTGACTGACTGCCAATGTTCTCTAAATTACAGCTTCTAAAAAAATCTAGAGGTAAGAGGATTAATTTTTCTGTCATGAAAGTAGAATAAGAGGAGAGCAGACGGGAAATTAATGGAGATCGAACAGATACAGTGACGCTATGTTTTGATTACATGGTCAGTGTCTCCAGCCCTCAGACGACCACCCAGGTTTAGATTTCTATCCAATGTGGTTTCATTACAGATGTGCAATGATTTTGCTCCATTTTATTGCTTATGTTTATGTCTAATCTATTTGTTATCCTTAAAGATTATACTGTAAACATAAACAAATGAGATCTGTTTCAGAATTGTATGTTTTTTTTAAAAAAAAATTAAAACAGAGTGTAACACCAGATGATTATCTTGCATGAGTAGTAATTTTATCCTCCTAGAGTGAAATCCAAAGTAAGTGCTAAATTAAGGTTTTTAGAATATGATTGTTGTTGTTTTTTGCACAGTACTTTGTAACCTTAGCTAAGTGAACTCCCACATCCAAGTTTGATAAATCTGCTACTATCATGATCAAGGAGAAATTAATTTATACAAACAGTAACGACATTGGCACAAAGGATGTAATGATAAACTTAGTTATATTTTAGTTACATTAGATGCTTGTTAACACAATTGCTCAATTAGTTAATCATAGAAGATCAGAGGATTTGGGCATCCAGACATAGGGAAGACAACTTGAAGAAGTTAAAGCCAACCAGGGTTGGGTTGACCAAACGTTCTTGCATGCTGAGTATGATAGACTATCACATACTTCAGTCCAAGCATTAATTGAAATATCATATATTGAATTTGCTATGACAACTGATACCTGATGTAATGTGCAGCCCTTTTGTGTTTTTGTAGAATAGTTTTTTCAGGTTGGTTAGAGCATTTTTTTTTTTTTGTCCTCACAGTAACCGTAGCTGTACAACTGCTACCAGCTTACGTCACCAGCTTTTGTGAGGCACCAAGTATGGGATATCTGGATCATATATTGCTATACACAATGTCCATTACAATAGCTGACATCACAGTGTCAGTTTCACGAACCCGCAACAGAAACAACGCCCGTCTCCCAGGAATCCCAGCGTCAGCTGGTGACATTTCACTCCGGTCGCACTCTTTCCTTTTGTATTGATTGGCCAGCTAACAGTGACTCACAGCCCTGCACTATGTAGCTTCAGACAATAACCAATGACATCACTCTTCAGACTGGCTGCTGTCCAATCCCAGTCCACTCTGATAGCGAATGACATCATGCAACAAAAATACAGTGTTTGTTATGTGGTTGAGTTCAGAAAGAATGAGTAAAATAAATCTATCACTTATTAAATGATACAACTTTGATATTTAAACCATCAGTGTTTTAGTATTAAGCAGGCAGCAAATGAAGCCATTGATAGAAACGAATGTCTGCTCTTGTGTTGCAAAACTTACTGGATCCGACCGGTTCAGTTTTCTTAGAAGAGTTTCACCAACTGGTACTATAAGCTGAACTAGACTGCAACATTTTATAAGTAGAGTCAAATTGGAAAGTGTGTAATTGACTTTGTGTTTGCAGGATTTCTAACCCACCAGAGTGAAAAGCAGTGCCACCAACAGTTTTGATATAGTAGCAAAAACTGCAGTATGAGTTTTGTTTGGTGAGTTCCAGCTCCTAACGCAGTGATGGTGTGAACTGAACCTGTTCAGAAGGAAAATGTTCCGAGATCCTCATTCTGAGCAGTTCTAAATCAAGAAGATTAAAAACCCGAAAACACGAGGACGATGGATTTCTTGGGAATAAATTAGTATTATTATAAGGGGAAGTTCTTCATTTAACATTTAATTTCTGTTTAGGATCAATGAAGTAATGTTACTTTGAGTGCAATTAGAGCAAAATAGTCCTTATAACAAAATACATATTTCCCTGTCCCAAAGGTCTGCTTGGATGCTATGTTAAGGTAGGATATAATAGTTGAAGTGTCGTTTCCATGCTCTGCATATCTACATCATCTAACATTTGGCCAGCTGAATGGACGCTAACTTCCCTTAATGCTCTCATCAGGTGTATCTGTTTAGAGGCTAAGATGCTAAAGCCCATTAAAGTGCTGTGGACGCTTTGTATTTATGAGGAAAGTAAAGTCTGGGAATTGCAATTTACATCAATTGTATTGTAGTTTAATATTTTCAAGAAAATATGCAGCTCTAATTTATATTTGAATCCTCAAAATTTCCAAATTTTTTTGTTTTGTTTTTGTTTTTCTAATAGATTTATGTCTGTCTAGTACATGTAAGATGCTTCCTGTTGGTGCTTTTCAAACCACAGCCGATGACAAATTAAGGTCAACTCCCACAATGTTCAGATTCTTTTAAAAACGATGCAACTGCTTTAAAATGTGTGCCAGAAATAACAATAGTTAGCTAGATGTTTGATATTTCTGGCACAATAGATCTGTTAATGTTTGTAGCTTTTTAGTTGACATGTTTTGCCTGCTGTCTGAGAAAAGACTGAGTCACAGTTTCTCAGAGTCTCGTGTGTGTGTGTGTGTGTGTGTGTGTGTGTGTGTGTGTCTGCCATCTGCAGTGTCTCCTCCATGGTGCAGACAGAATGACTCATTATCGGTTCCCTTTCTGATCTTTATGGCTTCTCATAGCTTGCATATATCCTGTGCTGTAAATCAATATTGCAAGAGTAGTTCAATGACACGCCTGTCTGTTGTGTTTTTGGCTTCAACCTCAACTGAGGCCATAAACTTATAATACAGCAGAAGACTCAGCTGAAGCCTTAAGCAAATTGCCAGAGGAAACTGCTGCACATCAGAATCTTCCCAGTGGTTTATAATTACGGTGTCGTGGATCTTCTGGTCAAACCTGTATTCTTTTTTTAACTCAATACAAAAACTGTTCCCTCTGTGTGAACAGGCTCTGCAGTGACAACAATGAGAATCTGTTTGTTGGAGAAGTGTGTGAGCTCGCCAACACCAAGAGGAAGAAGGAGTTCTACAATAATAACACCAAATCCCAGTGTGAGTTTCAGTCACTGCGTGGACTTAGTGGGGAGTCTGTGGAATGCAAATTAAAGGTCTTGTGCGTAAAGCTGCACAAAAGTAAGTTTTGAATGCTGAGTGCAGGACTTGCAGGTCATGGAATGACAAACATCCTGTACTTTTACAGGTCCCTCCATAGTTATCAGCACCCTAAGAAAAGATCTGTAAAGAGGATCAAATAAACTATTATTTTCTTATAATAATGTAATCTCACACTAAAAAAAAAATAATAATAAATGTAACTCTGAATGTAAGAACATATATTTGAGAGGTGAGTTATTTCTGCCAAATCACCAGTAGGAACTCTGCTGGTAATACTTTTTTACAACCCATCTTTTTCCAGAAGGTTGATACTTAGTCACCAATTATTTTTGTTTTAAAAGATGTTCTTTTATGGATTTTTTTCAAATTAAATAAATATTCTCAAATGAAATGTTTCTATATTTGTCCTATCTGAGATTATGCTTTTGCAGTGGAAGGTTTTTTAGATATCTTTACCGAGAGTATGAAAAATATAATGTGCCAATATAATTATTTGTTGTTCCAGAACATCATTGTGAGGAGCCGCATCTCGCACGCTGAAATAAACACAAGAGAATTACTAATAATGAGAGTAAATTAAAGTATTCTGAAATTCATTTAAGTAGCATGTGATACATAAAAAAATAAACAAAACTATCACAGTTTCCCTTCAGAGGTTTTGATGTGCAGTGTAACAGGAAACTGGAAAACTGTTAACATTTATGTTTTCTGTCTTAGTTGTTTTCAGAGATAAATGGATCTACGTGCAGAAAGGAAGCACGAAAGAAGTGAGTCCTGAAAACTTTGAATTGTTACATTTTTGTGTTGGACCTTGCTGATTGTGTGTACAACAGAATGTAATTTTCTCACCTTTGCTTTATGTTTTCTTTGTTCTTTGCCAACAGCGACATGGCTACTGCACTCTCGGGGAGGTTCTCAACCGATTAGACTTTTCCAGTGCCATCCAAGATTTGCGAAGATTTAACTATGTTGCAAAGGTGCGCAATGACTGTCACCTATAGTCAATCAGTGTTTTATTTCGTGGCCTGTACTGGTGTATTTTCTTACTCTTACATCTCTCCTTCCGTTTTCTGCAGCTTTTTCAGCTGATAGCCAGGTCTCAGTTAACATCTTTGAGTGGAGCTGCCCAAAAAAACTATTTCAATATACTGGAGAAGATTGTACGAAAAGGTAAGAGGACGACATACTTATACTTAAGTGTTTTGAGTATAGAAACACTTGCTATTTAAAACATAAAGACATCTTCTATTTGCTTTATATCTGCAACGCTTTCAGAGCAGATTACTCCAGAGACATGCTGACGTAAACATTCTCATTAACCCTAGTGGATGAGAGCAATGTGCAACAAAAATTATGTCAGTTTTGGTCACAGTTTTTGTTAGTCTCAAACAAAACAGCTGCATTAAAGTGGTCAAATTTTAAATAAAGAACTCCAGGCCCTGACCATAACAATTTTCTTCTAAAAACTTTAAGAACAACTGATTAACAGAAACATGCAGAGAAGCATTTTAAAATAAATGATAATTATTACTAGAGGAACACATTAAATCTTCAAAGTTTCTATTGAAATGAAAATTAAACACCATTGGGACTTCATAGCTGAGGGCTAAATATGCACTTGTTTGTCATCATCTCCCTACATCCCTGCCCTAAAAAAAAATCATTATTTCTAGACACAATTTAAGCATTTTATTCAGTTAGAAAAATTATTAGCAAAAATATAAAAGACACACAGGATGAAATCTACCTTGTGTGACATCCCTGATGTTGGCACCTACAGAGGGTATTTTATTCCATTTTTATTTTTCTATCAAAATTATCAGCAATTTTAACAGACAAACTGCTCTTGTCTTTGAGATTGGGAAGCTATTGGTCCTGTTTGTAATTTACATAATGATGTGTGAAGGGTACGGCAATAGCACTGTACCTTTTGAATGAATCATTTTCTTTCTTTTTTTTTGGTAAGATTTATAGATGTTTGTTTGTTTTTCAACCTTGGCTTTAGTCCTTGAGGACAACTATAATCCACGCCTTGTTAAGGAGCTTCTGCAGGACCTGAGCTCCACACTCCACAGTCTGACCATCCATTTTGGCAGGTGTGTCCTCGTGGGCAACGTGAACATCTGGTTGTGTCGCCTGGAGACCATTGTTAAATGGCAACAGGAGCTCAACAACATGCAGATCCCAAAGGTAAAAACTCAAAAGGAACATTTCATATTCAGTTATAGCTGAGTTTTGGCAGGGCAGTCATTGTAGCCTACAGATCCCATTTGTAACTGTGTTGACTGTTTGTATAGCGCAAAGTAGATCAAGTTTTCAGTTCAAGTCTTAATCAGTTTTCGTGCCGATTGTTTCCATAGCAATTGTACACAGGGATGTCTTTCAACGACCTGCCGCTGCACATGCAGAACCAAATCCTCTGTAAGTTATCCGACGCCTGTGACATCATCAACCTGGGTCAGGCCACGCCTACGTTGCACATCCTCAGTGAGAATATGACGCTCTGGAAGAAACTCTGTCAGTTTCACTTCTCAGACAAACCGGTGAGGAAGTTACATGTTTATGTCGCCCAAGTTGAAGTTTGGAATTTCACATTTAATTGCTTAAACTAGCTAAAAGTTGCTGTGATGGTTTATAAAGCATGCAATTTACATGTCAGCCACTAGAGGGCAGTGCTGGCAAAATTAAGCATACTCTTTTAGCTGGGAAATGCACCTGCTCTGAAAAAAGAAGCACCACAGAAAGATCGGTGTTAATTATGAGTTGCTCCAGTTGTAATTCCACATTGATTTCCTGTGACATTAAATGTTTGCTCCATGCTTCCTATTCTGCTTATGGGCTTCTGCTGCTCATACACAGTTTTGTAGGAATTTGGGTCTAACCAGGAGTGACAATGTGGACTGGAAGCTGATGTACTTCACCCTGCAGAAGCACTACCCCATGAAGGAGCAGTACGGCGACACATTGCACTTCTGCAAACACTGTAGCACCCTCTTCTGGAAGGTAAACAAGACGAGCAGTCCATCTGTGTCTGCCTTATCTCAGGGATTGGGTTTTTAAAAAAAAACGCTGAGTTGGAGATAAATTAAAACCAGAATGTCACAGATGGCAAGTAATTTAAACTACATAACATGCTTTATCATAATATAAAAATATTTTGAAACTTTGAAAGACATTTTGTTGCTTTTTTGGCTCTTGTTAAATAAAATGGTGGCATATTTCTAAATAACTTTTAAAAATTATTCATTATTCATTTTGCTTATTTAAACATGTATCTGTAAATTTTTAAATATTTTAGATGTACATAATGTTTGCCACTGTTCCAATGTGAAATGGTTTCAAATAAAATAATAGTTTACTGAAAATACACATAATCGATCAATTTGACCAATCAGACTTTGTTTTAAGCATCATCAGTCCTCATTCCTTGTCCCTTATGAATTGAAAAACAAAATGTTTTATTAGTTTTAAACAAATTATCATTTCAGAGGCTATATTTTAAGTAAATTTCCTCTTTTGGCTTTTGTTTTAGGATTTTTAATATTTGTTGACAAAATTAAAACAGATACTAAACAAATGACATGACTGGTTTAAAACTGGACATTTTACTCAAGCAATCATGTTGGTTATTCTGTGTTTTACACTTTTTGACAATACTTTAAACACTACTTGAAACAAAATGTATCAGAATAACTCAAACCAGACTGTATATTGGACAGGATTGTTTTGACTTTTTTTATACTGCACAGATGGAATTGGTGCTCAAAATAAACCAAGTCTGCGGTGTTTAAAATACAGATTTTAAGTGTCTGTGAGTCAAGTGTTTTTTCTCAGTTTTTTACCAAAGGTCTTGGTCTTATGTTTGCTGAAGATAAAACCGAGGTGAAAATCTGTACAACTTTTTTTTTTTTTTTTTTTTTTTTTCCCCCTGGAAATCTCCAAAGGCTGACCTTCGGGTTCAAAAGTTCAAATATTTTGTTTTTCAAAAATAGAAGAAAGGAATTCTGTGTTGCTTTCAACCGTCCATAAAAATGTAGTTTTTGACGTTTGTGTGATGAAGTGAATCACAAACATCGGCACACGTGAGCTCTGCTAATAATCCTAATTCTTGTTAGTCATTTGAGTGATGGATTTTGTGAACTCGTGTGCTCACGTGTAGAAATATCTTATTTCCAAACTATTATTTTTGACCTCCCTGCCCCCAAGTTCAAGTGTTGAAATATCTTGTTTTTGCTCTGAACTGATGGGTTTGTTTTTCCTGCAGTTCAAGTGAAATTACTTGGGGAAATATTTCTTGAATTTGCAGAAACATACAGAACAGTACTTAGAAGGAACGATTGCACTGAGTCGGACCGTTTCCTTCTTTGGAGTAGTTACTTTCCTCATCGGCTGCTCCCTGTATGGTTTAACTTCTTCCTTCTCTGCATCCTTTCCTTGCTTGCCACCCTTCCTCCCTGCCTCTTCTCCTGGCTCCCCTTCTCCCTGACTCCTTAAGGATCGCCATGTGGCTTTGTTCCTCAAGGTACTCCGTGTCCCATCATGCCTTTTGTTCTGCCTGTTCAGTTCTCTGTCGATCATATCATGATTTATCTGTTTTCATGAGTGGAGCTTTTTTTTTTTTTTGCATGATGTTCCAGGTTTCTCTTGATGTCATCTTGTTTTTCAGAAGTGTTTAGTAAACAGTGGCGTTCTTTTCGCTGTGTTCTTATCTTTTCACTTTGTCAACTTGTTTTTGTTAGATCTCAGTTTAAAAAGGCTGTCAGCTGCCTCCCAATCTAACATAAATACCAAGATAAATGTTTGTGTCTGCATGCCAATGTCCAAATTTGGTTTACGGCAACTAATTCTATCTCTACCACTGCATTTATTTAATTTATTCCTGAATACTATTCAATTAGGTGCAAATGAAATCACATTTTAAGATATAAATGAAAACATTTTATTATTTCTGGAACGACTGACACCTCTTGTATATTTGCACAAAATTTCCTCTTCTTTTCTGCAGCGAAAGAATTGCTGAATATAATGCTGTTTTAAAAGATTGTTTCATTTTCTTCAATAAATTGTAGGCTGGCCATTATTTGAATCATTTCCCCACCAGATCCAACTGATTTAGATGTGTTCAAGTGGCCTCTTAAGTTATTACAGGTGGTTTTGTGGTGAAGCATGTAGGAAAGAAGTTTAGGACTTTTAATATTTTATTGACAAAAAAAAAAAAAACTTCTAGAGTTTTTACTGAAAATGCTAGAAGTTTTCAGTAAAAAAAAAAAAAACTCTAGAAGCGTACCCTCATGATTATGAAAAATGTTATTTATGCCTCTGTAAAATCTAATTTTATTTAACATTTGAGTAAACCTATTTTTCGTGAATGTGTGTGTTGCGTTTACCTTCCTTCCTGGTTACCTGGTTTCTCACGTTATGCTTGTTGACTGTTCCTCAGGACTTTGGCCACCCGTGCACCTCCAATGATCCGGACAGCTGCCTGATGCCCATTTCTCCGCAGCACTTTATCGACCTCTTCAAATTTTAAACCTTCCACGTTGTTCTCCAACACAACGTCCGTTACTCTCTTTCTGTGTGTGTGTGTGTGTGTTTTTTTAAACCCCTGGTTGTTGTTTACCCAAATAAAAAAAGGGCTTAAATTGTATGAAAATAAATTTTCATCGCACAAATATTTCCAAACATAGAAAGGACTAAAGGTATGTGTGTGTTTTTTTTTCTTTTTGTTTGTTTTAGTTCAAAACCTTCAAATATATTTCATGTTTCAGCACAGATGTTGGTTTTGAAGACAGAAAAAGGCTTCTCTCTATAGAGGGAATTACATTATGTAAATATATTAAAAAAGAGAAAAAATATAATGATGGAATTTCTTGTGTAAAACATGTTTCAGCCTGATGTTGGTAGCTTAATATTCATTGATTGGATGTATAAAGATTTACAGAGCGCTGAAAGAAAAAAAACAAATGTCTGGTATTTATTCAGTGAGGTTTAACTGCATCCTGATCTGTTTGTTCCTAGTGGCATTTTTTTACAGTAACAGCTCGTTTGTCATGTTTGACTCCGTTTACAACCCGTCTGTCCTTTGTTAGTCAATGTAAGCTGTGTTGAGTGTGCACGTTTTCTACTGCTGTTAGGCATCTGATGTGGCGAATCGAAAAATATAAATGACTGTTTTAAGAGGGTAAAAACTTTTGCATTTCTCTTCCAACTTTTGTAACTTCCCTTTACCAATCCATACTGTTGAAGGTACTGTTGGGATTTTTACAGCGTGGCGACTAGATGTGAATTAATTAAAGTTATTTCTTAAAAACTGCTTGTTTTCCTATTTTTTCCCCTTCTTTTGGTTTGATGCAGAAGTTTTATAGTTCAGATTAATCTCTAATTGATTTTGACAAAAGCATACATGGTGTGGTTTATATACTTTTTTTTTTCAGATGTGGAAAGCTAAAAAAAAAAAGTTAAGATTTTCCAGCAAAGGATGATCAACTTAGTAAAATTCATGTTCATACAACAACAAAAAAGTTGTATCAGGATGCATGTCAGACCAATTCTCCTTTAAGAAACATGACCCAGCACTTTATTGAATATATACTGTAGGCATTACAGGGAGTGCTGTGCATTATGCCTAAATTTAAAACAAGTTGTTTAAATATCTTGAGAAGAATGAAACATTATGTGAATGAAATTAATCCTTCTGAACTTAGTTTTCTCCCACATTTGTCCTTAAAGTCAGGCCATTGTGTTGAAATTCAAAGCAAATTGATATTTATATTCTATGTAGAGGCACACAGTTAAGTCAAATTGCATTTTAACTTAGTGGAGCTTTGTATATTTTCCCAAAGATTCAAGTAAAATATGGCTCTGTTCTTTCCTCAAATGTGGGATCTAGTGTGGAGATTTACGAAATTTGCAAGACTTAACTGTTGTTTTTTTTTTTTTTAATTAAGGACGGAAAGAATGTTCTATGATCATTTTAACAAAGCACCAACCTCCACAGTTATAATTTGAAGACATGTAGAAAGCCTTAAAGAAGCAAAACCTTTAGTGAAGAACAAAGGACCCTCCGAAGGAAAGGACATAGACACAAGGAATAACAGAAGGAGGTCATGAGTGTGAAGGATAGAAGTGAGAGATTTGGATATGAGCAAAAGAGGGAAGAAAGAAGGAAGTATATGATGAAGAAATAAAGCAATGACACAAGGAGGAAAGAAGGGTTAACTTCATCCATACTGTGAGGGAACATTGAGTAATCACTAGTGGTGTGATCTCTACCTCTAATACAGCTCCAGAACTTGAGAAGAAAACATATCCAACCACCTTTGGCATGGTTATTGATTTGCTTAACTTCAAAGACACACACACACTGTTGTTTCAAAATATGATTTTTTTTTTTTTTTTTTATGATTGCACAATCCATTTCTGAGCTTTTAAATTAAGGCTTCAGACAGTTTCAGGGTGCCGCATTTGTAAAGAAAGGATGTAAAAACTAGCTACATAAACTCTCAGTAGTACAACAAGCTTGCATAATATTTGATTGTCTCGTTGGAGCGAGAAATTATCTTCTCGCCTGTTGGCAAAAAACTGCGCATTCCAGAAACGAAAACGGACATTTTACAGTAGATTAAGGCTTTCATTTCAACAGATTTAGCATTTGAAAGTGATTCACAAACAAAAGTCCTTAAAAAAACAAAAACTCATTTCCTTCATACCTAAAAACCTTACATGTAATTTCTAAAGATTAGAGTAGCTTCCTGGCAATATGATGCCATTAACAGATTGCTAGCTAAGTTGGAGGCCTAGTTGGAGATTTTTTTTTTATTATTATTTTTATTTTCGGCTATAACCATCATGTCCCTCTGAAGGACCAACACCACACTGTTTAAAATGAATGAATAAAGTGACCAAGATATCTTGTAGTGAAATTAACTTAGCATTTTAGGGAAAAGTTAAAAGACAATACCACATTAAAGAAACAGAAGGAAGACCTACAAATATTGAAAGTATGAACCGCAAATAAATCACAGTTTGGATTTCTATTGTTTTTTCTAAGCATTTTCTGATACAAAAAAAAAAAAAAAAAAAAAAACTAAAAACTTTTGAAGCTATACTCTCTACAACAGACAGGCAGTCCAACATCTGGATGATGACCCTCCAGATGTATGTGCATTCTTAGACGCCTCGTGCTCGGTTTCTTTATTCTTACTGCTTCTAAGTACTTACTTCTGATTTCAGACATGAAAATAACTTTCGTCAGGTGCAGACATGAGCAAAATTAAAAAGGAAAAGTTTTAAAAAATTATGATATACAGTGGACCCGCAACCATTTGTGGTTCAGTATTTGCTGAAAACTGTAGATGTTGGCCTCTGTATTAGTGCCAAGATGGTTTCCACTGTGCGCACTAATGCATATTAAGGTATATTTTGTGTTTGAACAGTTAAAAAAGGCGGTTATCGGCTTTTTTAGAGCATTTGCTGGCAGAAAACGCCCTTGAATGCCGGGGAGAGGGGCTGGGGGTCCACTATATGCCCTTTAATGCTCCCTACAGACACAAGTAGGAGAATAAGAAATCCTGGCATCTACTGGCCACTACTGGTATAGCAATTTAAGGCACTGCCTCTTGTGTGACAGTCTCTAGCATAACATTTTCCTTCTGGAGTTAAACTAGAAAGAGGCAGAAATCTGGTACAGATTGTCTACTGAGCAAAACAATGCTACTGTTTAAATCCTGCCCAGGGGCTCTCTGATGCGATCCCTCTGCTCATTCTGCTGATGCCAGCCAGCTTGACCTTGGCACGGGACGTCCACCTCACTGCAGCTGCTGGGTCATTGGAGTCCGTCAGGTTGGCATAGCGAGAGGAGTCCTCCTCAAAGCCCTGGCCACCCCACGAAGGAATTTCCAAGGGAACGCTTAAGGAGTCGGGGGGAAGGGACAACGCCGACTCCCCGTTCTGACCGTTCTCAATGAGGGCTTCGTCAGGCACAATCTCAGACACAATCGCCAACCGTGGCGGCTCCCAGCCCTCCATCTTCTCCAGTTTTTTGGCAGGCGAGATTTGCCTCATCGTCATCGTAACACTGTCCCAGAAACAGTGCCCCTTTTCCGGCTTGTCCTTCTTCTCCTTCTCACCTTCCTTGAGCTTTTTGTTGGACCTTTGAAGAAACAGAGGAAGGGAGAGAGGTCAAAACGTGAAGTTAGAGGGAACTTTGTGGACCGCCTGCATTGTCACCATAAATAGAAGCGACCGACTCCGGTGTTTATCGGAGATTTCAACACTGGAGACCGGAGTGTTCCCCCCCACACACTGGGCCATTATGGAGAAATTCCTTTATGTTTGTCACAACAAGGTCATTAATAAAGGTTTTCCTGTTCATACATGTTCCACTTCCTCAGCAGGTCTGAAAGATAACGTCTTGTAAAGGGCTTACATGGAAACACATCCAAGTGGCTGGGTGTGACTCTGTTTTTTGAAGTGGAAACTGTAAATGCTTTTGTTCCTGACACTTGGGCAGTAATGACTGATATACTGACAATATCCTGAATAAATTTTTTATGCTCATTTTTGTAAATGAGTAAGAATGCAATGAATTACAAGTTGTTTTTGCGTATATAATTTAATGAGCCATCTTTTGCTCTTTAGTGGCTATAGATGACATAAATATATTTTTTTAGGGAACATCATAATTATTGCCATTAATCCACAGATTTTGTCATAATTTATAACATGTAGGAATGTAGTATGTAGTATTTTTAAATAGTTTTCATCAGTTGTTGTCCTGCCTTTCTGAAAACCTGTCAATGTTTGAAAATAGACTTTGGCTGATTTTTTTTTTTTAGCTCATTTTCAATCCAGTGTATAAAAGAGATTTTTTTTCTCTTTCTTCTACAGCAGTTTATTTTGTCATGGTCAGGTAAAGAAAAATGGGGTGCTAAAATCCAAACTAAATGTGGAAGACCTTTAAGAATGCTGGAAAACTATTTGTTAAAAATTACCAAAAAGAAAAAGCATAAATGAAAGTGTTATTGAAGTTTACCCAGTTTGTCACAATCAATAAATTACAATCACAAACTCACATTTTGCGCTCTGCCGCCTTCACCCCGGACAGCAACAAGTGCTCGTCATCCTTAGAGGACAGCATCTTTTTCTCCTTCCTCTCCTTCTTTGACATTATCTTTTTCACCTTTGCCTCCTGACAAAAAAACAAAATGAATGAGGAAAAAGGAGATTTGATGTTAAACATCACAGCTAAAAAAAAAAAAAAAACATTTACAATCCCCATGTGTTGAATGTTAGTTGTCACTATTGCCTTATTTTGCAGAGATATGTTAGTTAAACCACGATAGGAATGCAAAGGAAGAGCCATTCGTTCAGCCTGACAGTTGCTCATATTTTGGAAAATACTTGGTGAAGCTTTATGAGTGCGTTCCAGTGGGAGAAAACCCCTGATCTACTTCGCATCAGAATTCCTTCCTGCGTTTCATACATTCCTTATCAGCAAAGATGAAGCAAAGTTTTGACTTCCTTTCTTGCCAATGGAGAACTCCTAATCTCAGTTGTCAAGGTCTCTCCTCCTCCTCCTCCTCCTCCTCCTCCTATCCGTGCCGGCCTGCTCCCTCAGTGCAGAA